TTTAGAGTGTGGGAATGGCTGAGTTTGTATCTTTAACAAGGGATAATCATGATCATGATCACATGTAAAATATAACACGCAAGGTCGGGTTTCCAATGAGGGACACAAATCCTTTGCAATAAAAGCTCCAAAGGACTTTAGATTTTGCTTTGCCTTTTTTGTAGTAGGTAGAAACTTTGATAACTTCTTGGCAACAAGTATACACCACCATCTGTTTTACTGATTATAGTTTGGCTCTTGTCTTTTTTCTCTGTAAAGGTGAATACTTTCAAACACCAATTTTTAATGCAGAAGGTATCATCTTGCATACAAATTATAAATTTGTCTGGCCTAGTTGTGGCCAAGACAATGCACTTGGCTCATATATCTCAACTAAAGCCAGCCCTTTGGTGGCCTGATGTGGTTTGCCAGAGGTGGCCCATGCATGGACCAACACCACATAAACCTAACCACAGCTGAGCCAGTTATGGTATGGTATCTTAAAAACAGTGCCATCATTGCCAGACCTGGCCTACGTTTGGTTGACAAACCACTTGCCATGCCACCAGTGCCAGCCTGACATCAGATCTGGCCCACACCTGTCTGTCTAAAGGCCTCAACATTCTCTATCCAAATTTGAACAGTCAATGCGTGGCCACGTAGTTGTTTGGAAATCATTTTCACACACACACCTTTCACTGCTCATGAGACACACAACGGAGAGCTCCTAGGAAACTCCTCCCACTGCGATYCATGTCACCGTATGGGGTTTCTTCCCACTGGAGTCTACAATGCCAAAAAAATTCCGTCACCCAACTTAATTTGTCCACAAATCTGTCCACAGTTTTTTCTGATAGATTCCTTCGTACACAGCATCTGTTTCATCTCCATCCATGAGTTTCTGGCCATTTGACTATCTTTATAAATTTCTGCTTCCAYGTAGCCTACAACAGTCGGCTTCTGGAAGCGAGTAGTTTTTTTTTTTTGAAAGTGAGTGATTGAAGCAAAATTCAGCATCCGTGAGCTTTCAGCATGAACAAACACTCCCATGAACTTCTAGCCAATCACACAATAAGTTCTTATGTGGAGGGGGTAAAACATTCTGCCGGTGGGTTGCGACAAAAGCGGCAGCAGAGCCAATGCCYAAAACTGCAAAAATCCAAGCTGATTTCGGCAGTTCGGAGGGAATGTGAAGTAGGCTTTAGTCAGAATGCCATTAACTGTCTGGGTCTACCATTTTACACTTCAGATTTCTGCCTTTTGCATTTTTCAACATGACATTAACATTAAATAATAATCCATTTTTGATATCTCAATGCATAGAGTGAGATTAAAACCCCCAAACCCCATGAGACTGGCTCTAAAACTGCACAAGCAGAGGTATTCCCAGACTTTAGAGATGGGACTTACAGCTCGTTGAAGGGAGTCGGATGTTGGGGATCCATTTCTTTCAAAACAGTCAGTCTTTTTGAACAGTTAGTCACATGATACAATCATACAGTATCTTAGTAAGGTTGTACATCACTACATATACTGTATATATAGTAATGTATGACTGCACTGCCGGGGTCACGCATGTTCGTCAAGCTCGCAATCCCTTCCCTTCCGCAGAGCTTGTTCGCCAGTCTTTGCAACTGCTACACRCCCCCCCCCCCCCCCTCATTTCTTTTTCGGCTCTGTGGAATACCAAAAGATGCTCGTTTTTGTGTTTGCATAAACGAATATCTCACAACAGTCTACGACTCGGTTCCCATCATTTGTTTAAAAGAGTCATATAAAAGATTCAGCTCGTTCGTGAACATCGTGTCTCCACCAGACTTGCCCGGTCGGCTGCATCTGGGTATCTGTTTTGGCATCTTTGCTCATCAGCCACAGCTGTAGGATGCTGTAAGCCCTTTTGTTTGAACCGTGTCAATGGACCAACAACAGCTGGAGCAGCCGGTGCCGGACAGCTGGAGGAGAGGAAGAGGATTTGTATACAAGCAGGGGATTAGAGCATCTATAAAAAGCAAAGAAGACGAATGATAGGGTATCGCAGAGGAAGATGGCATCAAGAGGTTAACGAGGAGAGCCAGGAGGAAGTGGGCAGGGGTGAAAAGTAAAGAAGGGATGAAAGAAATTAGGAAAAGAGGAGATTTCAGGAACATTGAGGCCAATACTTGAGTAAAGGAGGGGGCGATTAGTTAGAAGGAGGCAGATCAAAGATAGTCTTGGAAGCAGGTGAAAGACAACACAAAGGAGTGGATGAACTGAAAATGATCTTTAGGTTAAGAATTTGGTCACAGAGGAGACAGACATCCCCCACACACACACACCCCTCAAACACGCGAGCAGCATGTTTTGTGGCCATGTGGCTGCAAGCAGAACAGTGGCCCTGCTTAGATTAACGCCAGCAAATCGAGTTTCCGTAAGAGGAGAATTTACTTAACATGCTGCCAATGGTGGCTGAATGAGCTCTGATCTGATTTTTTCTTATCGCGCTCAATTGAAAAAGAGACGCTGAAAGCTTTTTTTTTCTCTTTCTATTCTACAGCTATTACGCTGTGTTAGATAAAGCCGGGGCAGAGTGGCAGGGAAAAAGAGCCTGTATCAGATAGGCGTGTTTTCGTTTCAGCTATTTTGGGTTGGTGGAGATGGAAGACAGTAATATGCTTTAGCAGGTCATTAGCCCAATAAGTAGTCGGAGGACTCTTTGAATATGTAACTCACCGGAAATGCCTCTTTCATTTAGAGATGGCGAGAAAAGGGTCGGGGCAGATCTTTGCTCTCTCCGTTTCTGTTGGAGGGATGTCAGGGTGAAAAAGCACTCATGGGGTGTTTTGCGCATATTTATGTGCTGACCTATCACCTGTGAATATGTATAATGACTTCCCCGAGAGCGTATATGTTACCGTTTTATTGCCACTTGAAGGCAAGCATCTGCATGTGCGTGATACACGGCAGGTTAACAAAGGGTCCCTCTTTCTCATTTGGCCTGTCCACCTGCGCTCTGACACATCTTTGGGGTGGGGGTGTTGGCGGGGGCGGAGGAAGGGGCGGGTGTGCTGGGTGGGAGAGCCCGATAAGACTGAGGAGTTATTGACTCACAGAACGTGGAGCTTCTGCACAGCTTGTTTAAATCTCTGGGAGCAGACAGAGCTGAATTATGCTGAGACTTCCAGATGTGTGTGTGTGTGTGTGTGTGTGTGTGTGTGTGTGTGTGTGTGGGGGCGGGTGTGCTGGGTGGGAGAGCCCGATAAGACTGAGGAGTTATTGACTCACAGAACGTGGAGCTTCTGCACAGCTTGTTTAAATCTGTGTGTGTGTGTGTGTGTGCGTGCGTGCGTGTGCGTGTGCGTGTGTGCGTGTGTGTGCATGTGTTTATGTGGCTCCAGTGGCTTTGGATTAGACAAGAAAGTGTGTGTATGTTTGCCTGTGTGTCTTTTGCTGTCATTGAATTTAGCTACAATCCAGCTGAACTCTTCCCTCACCCCCAATCCTCTTTTGTTTAAATATTTTTCCATTACTGCAGCACAGTCTGGATGAATTATTGCATTAACATTTTTGGTACTCCAACYGAACACTAGAATACCGAGCGCTAAGAGGGAATTAGGCCGAAACTAAAATGAAATTATTAGGACGTTGCGTTGGGGGAAGGTGGGGGGGACTCATAAAACAGTATCACTGCCACTCATTTCATGGCTCACTAGAGAAAGAGACTTCATAATAAGGCAACAGTACACTGAAAACTACTTTGTTCTTTTTCCTGCCATAGTTATTGAGTAATTATAGTTATTGTTCTGACATTAGTTCCATCAGACTGTTTGGGCTTTTAATCCCAGAAGTCACAGAAGACCTGACCCTGTATTTGCATGTTTGTTTGAACTCTAAATGATTATCCTTTTGTCTTTGTCATGATGCATATTTTCTATTTTCTAAGCATTGAAATGATACTGAAGTTTTCTATGGATATGGAGTCTTTGCAATCTTAAAATAAGTGCTAATCAGAGGTATGGTTTTTGTATCCAGAATCTGACAATGCCACTACTGGCCCAGTAGTGGTTTGGTTTTTGTGGCCCAAATCTGTTCCACAACTGGCCTGATTGTGTTTTAGTTGATGTGGCTTAAATCTGACAATGCCATAACTGGCCCAGTCATGGTTTGGCTTTTGAGGCGTAAATCTATCAATGCAACAAATGCCCCAATTGTGGTTTGGTTTATGTGGCACAAATCTGTCATTTCTTCAACTCGTCTGGTTGTAGTTTGGTTGTTAAGGCCCAAATCTGACAATGCCACAACTGGCTTGGACATGGTTTAGTTTTTGAGGCCCAAATCTGTAAATGCAACAATTGGCCCAATTGTGATTTGGTTTATGTGGGCCTAATCTGTCAGTTGCACAAATCTGGCCCAGTCATGGTTTGGTTTTGAGGCCTAAATCTGTCATTACAACAGTTGGCCCAGATGTGGTTTGTTTTATGTGGCCCAAATCTGTTAATGTCACAACTGGTCCAGTTGMTGGTTTGATTTATGTGGTGCTGGCCCATGCATGYACCACATCTGGCAAACTGGGCTACCAAAAGGCCATCCTTCTTTGTGGTGCCTGGGAAGAGTGTCAACGTTGCTAGTGCATTGCTTTGGTTAGAATTGGGCCAGAAAAAAACTTGCTCTTTGGGTTTGACTGAGATCCTATTATCTTAAAAAAGGATAGCAATTGTGGTCAAATCTTGATGAAAACTTTTTTGGATGACTCTCAGCTACTACCACATCAAATTTTAGCTCATTAAACCAAAATTCGATTCCCTTATAGGCATTTTTTGTTTACTGTCTGAGTTCAGTTGGCTGTGGTGACCATCTTGAGTGTGATTTCTTCAGTTGTAGACACAGTTAATGATTACTTTCTGAGTTTTGAAAAAGTTCGCCCTGTAGTTTGAGACATTTTCTTAATAGACATGCATCTAAAGCAGTTGCATTTGGATTTTAATGGCAGCAGGTGATGCTGAAGGTAATAACTTTTTTTTACCTTCTTGTTGTTCTGTTTGCAGAGTGCCTACCCCTGCTGACTGAAGTCCCACCTGCATTTTCGTCATCTCCAACCAACCCAACGGTGGTGCCATGCTTTTGTGTAAACCGGGCCGAGCTCTGGCCCAGTCCAGGCGACCCATCCTGGGCCTCTGCCTTCATTCGTTCCCCATAGGTCTGCTGCTGCCTCTGGTCATCCTTCTAACCAAACCTTGGAGCAGCGTCTGTGCAGCACTAGGTATAATGTTTTCTTCTCTCTTTCTGTGTGCTTTTTACCCAGAGTTAGTCATCATGAAGTGACACAGGAAAAAAAAGTGGGCTTATATATATATGTGTGTGTGTGTGTGTGTGTGTGTGTGTGTGTGTGTGTGTGTGTGTG